AGTCCTCTGGCAGAGCTACCTACTCTTCAGCAAATTTTGCAGAAGATGTCTTCTTACCTGTCCTAGGAAAAATATTCTATTTTCTATAATCTAGGTAAGCAATTAATAGGGGAAAAAAAATCACATTAGTGACTTAAAATTTTAATACCATTCTAAGAGTTAAACTGATCATCTCACTACACTCCAACAGGCTGTGGTGACAGGTCAGTAAGGGTCTTACCTCTAAATAGTTCTGCAACCAAGGGCAGTTGACATCCTCAATTTTCAATCCCATCATCTATAAAATGGAGTGAACAATAGTGCATTCTTCACAGGGCTGTTGAGAAGAGGAAATATGACGATCCCTGGGACTTTAAGTACTGATAACATGCTAGATAACATTATGGTTTGAAGTCTTCCTGAAGGTGGTGAGAGGGAGAACAAAAGGCATTAACTAAAGTACATTCCTCATTCAGAGAGCTTCCAGAAAGGAAGGACCTTCCAGACATTCTGCCACCCAGTGTGCACTGCAGATGCTTCCCTCCCCCATAAGAAAGTACACCTGAAGCAAGGGATCTGGTTAGGGAAAACAGTGTTCATGAAGAGAAACAGGCCAGTGGTTTCTTGCTTCAAAGAAAAGATCGAAAAGTTTGAGGGTGTGTACAGGACCAACATCTCTTAGCCCAGTTAGATACCACATTAGTCGCCAGGTTTGCTAACCTGCCTCAGAACTACAACCCAGAAGGAACATGTTGGAGGCTGGTGGTGATGGTGGTACAGCCAGGCAGATGGGTCAGGCATACCTCTTTAGATCCAGGTTCCTACAGTGTGTAGAAAATGGATTAAGCCTGAGAACAGGGGCATGGGAGTGTAGGTGGGAGACTGGAGGGTATAGACTGGCTACAAACCAAAGGAGGGGGCAGAACCCCCTCTGGTGCCCAGGGGAGCTGGTTGGGTTCAGTGAGAACTCTCATTAACCAGTCCTGAACCCCTCCACAGTGCCGCTAGTAGTGAGCTGTGAAGTGAAGGACCCACAGGAAGGAACAACAGCCTCTTCTGGTCCTGTCGGAACAAGATGAGGGTGTGTTTACCTCTCAGAGGAGCACATTCAGGGACAGGGCAAGGGATTATTAGAGAGAAAAACTGCTCTCCCCTTTCCTGCCAAACCACTGGAGTTTCCGGTTTAAATCGTGGTGATAGAAAATATCCCAAGTCTTTCTAACAGATATCATTTTTTCACAATGATAATTCACTGATGAGTTCTGGAATTCAGGTAAGAAGTGATTGAGGGAGTCACCAGCCAGAGGAAATGGAGGGCTTAGCAGAACAGAGTTAGAAATCAATTATTGGAAAAATAAACCTGCCATACCTCCACATGAAGGCCTTGAAATTTCACATCAATTGCAGTTATCTGAAGACTAACTTTACTTTCCCAGATAGTCCCTTGTCTCTGGTTACTGGCTTTTATGCTTACCCAATCTATTTTGAAAAGATTTTCAAAACTTTCAATTTTTTCCCTACATAATCCTAGAAATAGAACAGAAAATGCCTCAAGCATGAATGGAAACTTGCCCTTGTTTACTTCCTGTTACTTCATCACAAAGATTCCACAAGAACACATGCTCTTAATAACTTATGTTTCTTTTTTTATAATTAAAATTTGTCAAATCACAGAAATATTTTTTAGGGGGTGCTGGGGATTGAACCCAGGGCCTTGTGCATGTGAAGCAAGCACTCTACCAACTGAGCTATATCCCCAGCCTAAATCACAGAAACTATTTTTAAAGTTTTTTTTTTTAATTTAGCAACTAAAATAGTGCCTGGCACATCATAAGTTTATAATATATTATCATAAATATTTATTATTATTTATTTAACAAATATTTGTTAAATAAATAACCAAATTCATTTCATGGCAGTAAATATTTTTCTGTGGCATTTTTTTGGGGGTTGGGGGGTACAGGGAATGAACTTAGGGGCATTCAACCACTGAGCCACATCCCCAGCTCTATTTTGTGTTTTATTTAGGGACAGGGTCTCACTGAGTTGCTTAGTGCCTCACTGATGCTGAGACTGGCTTTGAACTCATGGTCCTCCTGCCGCCTGGCTATGGCATCATTTTTAATTGTTGCATAGAATTCTATTGTGTGAATTACCATAATTTATCTAAACAGGCCCTGGAGAGCTAAAGGAGAATTGAGCATTGTGATGGACACAGAGATTGTCCACATGGTCCCCTTCAAGGGGAAACTTGTTGCCTCATGACTAGCATCACTGGTACCCCCAGTTGTCAGTCTCCATCAGGAATTGTCTCAGCTACAGAAAGCTTCCTTCCAAGGGTGACTCATATTTTAAGGACAGATCATGGAGAGGCCCAAGGCAGAACTCCAACAGGGCATCTTCCTCCAGAGGTTAAAGGTGGGGGTTGCCTGAAGCTGCCCTACATATATTGTGGGGGCAATCTGCCCAGTCCTGTTTCTTCCTTCTCCCTTCCAAGGGTGCTAATTTCAGGGCACTCCCTAATAAATATATGGCACAGTAAATTGTCTCAGAGTCTGCTCCTGAAGAACCTAAACTGTGACAGATGGTTCTGACCCTCAAGGAACTCCCAAGTCTGTTAATTAAAACATTTCATAATTCTTACATGATAGCCCTTACCTATTACTAACACCAGGTTAAATTAGCACAGTGGTACATTGTGATATGCTATAAACCCATTAAAATGTAATATCCTTAGTGCTGGGTATGACACAGGATAGCTCCAGAAAGAAGGGGAAAGGGAAAGCAGCGAGAAAGGAAGGGAAATCATCAGATACTTAGTGGAGCCTTTCTCTTTGCTAAATTTCTCTGAATCTGTTTTCAGATACATCTCTTGCTCCTTGTTAGTCTTTGGACCACTCACGGGATGAGCATAAGTTAGGCAGTTACTATCTCTATATACCTATCTCCACTCCCCCCACTATAGCATTTGAAGAAACTGAAAATGGACACAACCCTGTCCAGGTAAAAAGTCTCAGCCTCATTATGAGAAGTAAGGACTAACAGGCCTTTTAATACCTGAAGACAGAAGTTAATGATCAACCACACTAACAAACACAAATCAAATAAAATTTTAAAACAAGCCAGGTACAGTGATACATGCCTGTAATCCAAGTGACTGGGAAGGCTGAGACAAGAGGATTATAAATCTGAGGCCAGCCTCAGTAATTTAGCAAGACCTTGTCTCAAAGTAAAAAAATAAAAAGGGCTGGGATGCAGCTCAGTGGTGGAATGCCCCTGGGTTTGAACCCCAGTACCAAATACAAAAACAAAACAAAACCCTGAGTTTGTATTCGAGGAAAAAAGTCCAGATTTAGGAGGAATCCAAGTGATAAGCTAAACCCTGTCAAGGTGTCAAGATGCTTCCCGGGATCCCTCAATCACACATTCCAAGGCAGCAGAAACCTACCAAGTGAGCTTCCTGTCACTCCCTGCCTCTCTGCCAGGCAGGTTCAGGCAGCATCAGGTTCAGCCCATGTGAGATGCCTCCTCCCAATCACAGACCATCCTTCCCCTGGACCGGAGGTTTAAAGAATCGCTGCAGGCTAGCAAAGCACCCTGGGCTGGTGAGGACTGCAGAGCCCAGCAGTGCCAGAAGGAGGTGGCAGCTCTGTGAGTACCCCCTTGCCCTGTGGGAAGCGTCTGCACCCTCCACAGTTGATTAACTTTCCTGGGAACAAAGTTAGCCATCTACTAGAGAAAGGGGAAGAAGTTACATTCTTGATTAATAGAACCTGCTACTTTTGTAATTTAGGATATTATTCTGATCTCTTTTATTTTGAACTGTACAAATTGCTCTCCTGAAACCTTTGATATCTTTGGCCTGTTGTCAGAACTGAGACCAAAGTCCTAGGGATGTTCTTCAGTTCTCCTGATTCCAACTTCAAATTTCCCCAGGAACCCTCAGGCTCCTGGTTAACTCTCTGATGGACCTAGCCTTTATAGACCCCCTCCTCCACAACTTTCTTGTGGAATCAGAAAAACAAAAGAATATCTAAGGAAATGGTCATGTTCTTTTTTAAAAATATATCCCATAGCCTAGGCGAGAGAGAGTTTCCTGATCTTGTTAGAAATCATTTGGTCTTGCCAACTAGTAATGGGATTTGTGGGGCAAATTATTCATGGTCCTTCTCTGAAAACAGTTCTGTTCAATATACATTTTGGTTGACATAATTCAACAGATAAGCTTACCTAAACAATGTTATTTTTGCGTAATTTATTCTTTACACTTCAGCAATTCTTGATCTTATTTAGGATCCACAGGTCCTAAATATATTTTTGTCCTAACATTCTTACACAAAATACAAGTTTCAAATAATGCTAGTACTATTTTGTTTGTGTTATAAGTCTCAAATTCTACTTCTAACTAGTTTTAAGATTTTTAAGATATTTAAGAGTTTATATTAATTTTAATATATTTTTTAATTGAAGACAATGTTTATTGACCATTTCTTGACTCAGTGAAGTTCAAAAACACAACAGAAAATAACTCAAGTTTTATGTATTTATGTATTTATGTATATTTGTATTATAAATAAAACTTCGGTTTTGTAGTTTTTTTGTGAGGAAATAGTTTTTCTTTTGATTAACCTTAATAGAAAAAAGTAATAATAATTCTTATTTTGTTTTTTGCTGACAACAAACTGTTTTGTTTTCTGCTAAAATAGGCTTAAAAATCAACTGACCAGTTTTGTTTGTTTGTTTGTTTGTTTTAACTACCAGGGAAGGATGCTTAGACTTTTTGAAACAAAGAGGAACTTAGAAACCATTTAGTTAAAGAAAAAAAAGAAAAAACAGCATTTCCTTTTTACCTCTCCTGCTTACATTCTTAACCAGACCAAATACCAATCAGCCCTAGAATCTGCTGTACCCTGCTCTGGAATCTGGGTCTGATGGCCACACAGCCCATCCACAAACCTGATAGGCCACCATTGCTTAACTGGGACAGAGACCACATTGCCCTGATCTCACGCCCCCCCTAGGATCTCCACTGTATTCCTGCCCTGGACCTGGGCATCCCACTGGCATTGCTGACACCTCTGGGCACTGGAGCCATTGCTTACATCTTAGTTCTTGATTTCTGGTGGGTGAATGGCTGCAGCCATCACAGGGAGCACCAGAAATCCAGAGCAGGGATGGCCAGTAGAACTTTCCATGATGATGGAAATGCTGTAGGCAACAGCTACTAACCACATGTGCCTGTGGAGTGCTTGAAATGTAGCCAGAGAACTAAAGAACTGTTTTTTGTTTTGTTTTGTTTTTTACTTCTATTGAGGTGAATTTATTTGACTTTAGTCGCATGTAGCTTCTAGCTACCATATAGGTCAAAGCAAGTTGAGAGAGCTGTAAAGTAAGAAAAATAAAACAAAACAAAACTCACGGATACTGTGAGCTGTGGGTATCACACCATGGAAATAAGCTTCCCTTTTCATCATTGTCAGGTTTAAGCAGACTTGTAAATTGTTCTGATCTGAAATCTTCATACCCACTTTTGTATACAATTATTTGCCCTTGTCCTAGGTTTCAGGGTTAAGGCTAAGACAACAGCATATTGTGATTCTTTTTCCTCCCCCCTCTCCTATTTCCTATTGATTTATTTACTCTTTGGTTAATCCAAATTTCTCTAGCATGAGTAGAGTTTGAGGTGTGGCTTGCGTGATCTCTGCTGCAACAAACTTGGGTGAGGAAAAGAGGTAATGAACTTGAAAAAAATGATCTCATGCTTGGTGGGTGAGTCCCACTTCTTCTTCTGCTTCAAGAATTGGTTTGTTTAGTGAGCAATTGTTTTTAGATCTATTCAATGTGTCTGGAAACCTCAACACCCTGGATGTGAATAATCTGTATAAGAAAACAAACTGAATGAAAGTATAAGAAAAAAAAAAAGAAATACATAGATAGCCTTTTAAAAATCCACCCTTCTCAAAGCAAAGGAACTCCCAGGGTGTTGAGCAATTTTAGTAAATCATCGTGGTGCCAGGTCACTGGGAAGTTTTTCACAGGGTGGGGTTCACGGGGGCTATTCCTTGGCAGGGAAAACATTTAAGGCGAGTTGCTCACTTCAGTCTGTGGCGTATCATTTCTAAAGTGGATAATCACTTCTCTGCTTTCTGTCCACCATGGTCGCTTCCCATTATTTTAAAAGTCACTAGTCCCTTTCTAGGCCTGCCTGGTAAAAAAAAAAAAAAAACCTAACCATACGTAGGGAAGCGTTGCATTAGAATAACAGGAGAAAGAGGCAGAAGACCACATATTTGAAACAGCCCCAGCATACCATGGACTAACAGGGAAGGCAAGAAGGGAGGGTGCCTCGCATCACCAGGAGTCAGTCTCTGACCACACAGAGACACACCCATGCCTTTAATCTTCAATTTAGGGTCTGGGCTACCTTCTGCGTATCTTCCTTCTCCCTTTGAACATAAATATGAGGGATCTGATCAAATCATTCCCAAAGAGGCGTTGACATTGGTGGCTAATGAGACTCCATGTGTGTCTTCTGAATGTATTTGTATTTTAATCAGCAGCAAAGCAGTGATTCTGTAATTGTGGCATTTCCATATTAGGGTGAAGAGTAAGGAAGATTTTGAGTAGAGGGAAAGGGTTGAAGGCTTTTTTGTTTGACTTAATTTCTAAGATAAAAAGCAAGCTCCAGGGCAGGGGATTTGGACTTTCTCTTAATGTCAAAGAGATATAAATAGAGGTGGAATCTTATTATTTTAAAAGGAATAAAGTAGCTAGGCACAGTAGTGCAATCCTTCAATCCCAGCAGCTTGGCAGACTGAGCCAGGAGGATCTCAAGTTCAAAGCCAACCTCATCAATTTAGTGAGGTCCTAAGCAACATAGTGAGACCCTGTCTCTAAATAAAAAATAAAAAGGGATGGGAATGTGGCTCACCTGGGTTTAATCCCCAGTAGAGGAAGAAGAAGGAGAAGAAGAAGAAGATAATCCATTATGCAATGAATGGGCACATGACCAATAATGGCCCTGGAATAAAAGACACTTTAATTTTTCCCTAAATTACAAACTTTAGTAAGACACAATAAACCAAGAATATAGTTATTGACTTTTAGGTGTGGCATTCAACCTATTTACAGGGTTTATAATTTTGCTTTTTAAATATAATTCTTTATCAAATTGGATTTTTTAATGTACAAAAACCTGCTCCTTTGTGGGTTTAGAATAAATCATTAAACAAACTTGTGTAAGGAAGAGATATAACAAAGCACTGGGCAAGGTTGCTGTGGCAAGAGGATGGGGGGCAGAAAAGCCAAACACACATGTCCACAAACAGGACCTAGATTAACTCCCCAGGAAATCTGTTTGCCAAGGACAGAGAGAGTATCTAGGGAAGGAATGGTAACTCTGGACAAGGGTAGTAGAAGAGTTTTTCAGTTGGGCTTCAGAGATGGCAAAGAATCCAAGAGGAAGAAAAGGAAGGGATTCCAAAGAGAGGAACAACCAAGTTCACCCTGGAGGCATGCTCAGGACTCAAGGGGAGCAGGGAGACTACTTGGAACTGGGTGGTGCGTCCTGAACACAGCTAAGAAGTTCATACTTAATCTCCTAGGTTGTCCAGCCTCTCTGCCACTGACTAGAAGAATGAAATGGTTGGGTCTGCCCAAATACTGTAGAAACAAGGAAAGGGAGGTCATTGGTTTGTCTCCAGGAGCAGAAAAGAAGTTCTCAAATTTGAATGCACTGGAATAGGACAGGAGCAAGTTTGAATTGGAAGATATTGGTCAATAACAGAGAATGAGTGGACAAGTGAAGTCACCTGGTAGTAGGAAGTGAAGGAGCCAGTGGCTGAGCGTATAGGTAAAGAGACAGCTATCTATGACGGTCCTTTGAATTTAGGGTACAATGAGCCTTGGAGGTTTTTAAGCAGAGGAGTGAAATAAAGCCAGAGCTGTGTATTAGGATAGTGGATCTCAAGGTTGATTTAGTGACTGGCACGTGAAAGTCTTGTTTATCTTTGTGGAACACCACCAAGTGTTGATATACTAAGTTTAAAATAATGAAGCAGATCGCGAGCCTACTTTGTGTCTCAAACTAGTTTTAATATAGACAGGTAGTAACAGCGCCCAAGATTTAAGAAAATTTATGAGAGGGAAATTCTTAAAATCACAAATATTGCTCAGTAATTTTTTTCTAAAATCAGAAAATGATTACAATAATTCCATTTGCCCCCAAAACTTCCATGCTCTCTATAGGATTGTTTGAGGACCTCTGCTTTAGAAAGTTCACTCCCAAAGCATTGCATGGAATGGATATGGAAGTTGTTGAGATCATTCGAACCAGAAACTATCAGCTGGCAGTAGAAATTGGAAAGGGTAAAATGGTCTCAGAGACATCAGAGAGTGATAATTTTGGCTTCTATCAAAACCATAATCAATCCAAATCAAGAGAGTGCATTAGACAAGGTTCTTCACAGAAACAGAACCAATAGAAAATACATATATATGTACATATAGGAAAGGTGTGTGTGTGTGTGTGTGTGTGTGTGTACACCTAGATATGTCTGGATATGTATATAGATATAAATATATATCCTATCATCTGTCATCTATCTATCTGTATCTAGAGAAAGAGAATTATCTTAAGGATTGGCTCATGTGATTTTTGGGGACCAATGCATCTGAAATCTATACAGCAGGTTGGCAGTCTGAAAATTCGGGAAGAGTGGATGCTGCTCTCTATGTCTGAAATCTGCAGATTGACAACTCATGCAGACCTTCTACGTAGCATTCATGAGTCAGAACTGCTGCTTCTTCAGGAAACCTCAATGTTTGGTCTTAAGGCTTCCTTTGACCAGAGAAACCCCCTGTCCCCCTATTATGGAGGGTATTCTACTTTATTCAAAGTCTACTGACTTAAATGTTAATTGCTTCTCAAAAAAAAAAAAAAAAATCTTCAAAGCAATATCTAGACTGCTCTTTGACCAAAAACCTGGGTACCGTATTCAAGCCCTGCTAACGCATAAAATGAACCTTCCCAGGGTATTCCTTACAATATTTCCTTATCAGGCCAGCAAAGACAAAACTCAAGAGGCAAAACTTCTCCCAGGCCTAGAGAACAGATTTACATTCTGTGTGTATGGGGAGCAGGGCCCCGTTGTCCTTGCCTTTTGTGCTTTCTTCATACCTGTCCCTCTCTGGAAAGGCAAACAAACTCATAATGTCTTTGGTTTTTTTTAATATTTATCAATGTGGAAGTTCACTGACATTTTTATTTTTTAACCTAAAAATGTTCATTGGTTTGCCCTCATGCACAAGCATTATTGGCCCTAACAGAAATCATGTCACCTTTCCTTTGGTGTACAAGCAACCCTTCCTAAGTCAGTCCTCCATCTTGTGTTTGAGGGAAGCAAATCCACTTGTCTCAGTTTTCCAGGAAGATTCCTAGATGTCCTCCACTGAATGGGAGTCTCTTGACACAGAGACTACATAATGTCAGCTTCCACACTGTGACCAGGGCCTTCCGGCTTCACTCTTAGATATCCTGGAAGTCCTTGGATAATTGCTATTTTTTTGTTCTTCTTCTTCTTTTTAGGTACATATGACATAGAGTGTATTTCAACATATTATACATACATGGAGTGTGACTTATTCTGATTAGGATCCCATTCTTGAGGTTGTACATGATGTGGAGTTTCACTGGTCGTGCATTCATGCATGAACATAGGAAAGTTATGTTCAATTCATTCTACTGTCTTTCCTATTCCCATCTCCCCTTCCTTCTCTTCATTCTCCTTCGTCTAATCCAATGAACTTCTATTCTTCCCTCCCCTCCCCCTTTATTGTGTGTTGGGATAGACTTATTTCACTTAGCACAATCGTCTCTATCCATTTATCGGCAAATGCCATGATTTCATTCTTCTTCATGGCTGAGTAATATCCCATTGTGTATCTATACCACATTTTCTTTATCCATTCATCTGTTGAAGGGAACTTAGATTGGTTTTATAGCTTAGCTATTGTGGGTAAATGCTTTTTAAGATCAGTAATTAGTTCTGTGTGCAACTTTCTTTTTTATTAGTTCTAGATCCCCAGTTTCCACTGTGGAACTTGCCATGTGCTTTAAGGATGTATACCTGGTGAGGGGATCCTCTGTGATCCCAGGCTCCCTACTGCACTTTTGTCCCATCCAAGGAGGCACCATTTTGATCTGTTTTTAAATACTAGAGCTCCATAT